ACTGGTGACAACTGATGATATATTAAGCACATTAACCCGCTGCCTTTCAGCTGCCCTTTCTGGCAAATTGGCAGGTGATCAGTCTGAATATAAAGCTTTATGAGGCATGATGAGAAGCCAGTCTATGATTTTAAATTAATTAAACTTTGAGCGCATTAAAGCAGGAAGGAAGTAATCCAAAAAAGACAATGTATCTGTGATACAACATGCATTACTGCTGATACTGCAGGTAATGCGACTGGAACCAAAGCATGCCAGAACAGCACAGAACTCATGTGCAACCTTTCTAGCAAGCTGTCTGATCACATGCAGGGCGTTGGAGAAATTATCTTCCATGGCTTTCATTCTACAAAACTATTAAACATAATAGATTTTAGGCTCCTAGCCATGGATCTCTTTTCCTTTAATACCAGTTTTTAGAGATAGATATTGTACTGACTTCATCGCTATCTTTGTTATTGTATTTTTATTAAATATACTGCATGTGTGGAAAATTATTAAAGGGACACTATTGTTACCAGAACAACTACAGCTGAATGTAGCTATTCTGGTGTCTATAGCATGTACCTGCAGGGTGAGCACTATAAACACTGCCTTCTCAGAGAAAAAGCAATGTTTACATCGCAGTCTGTTAATGTCAGGATTACAGAATGATCCAGCACGTAGAATTGTATAACACAGAGGACTGATAGGTAACGTATACCGGATCTTAGAATGGCCGGACTAAAGTACCAAAGAATAGTCAGGAATAGCCGAGGTCAACGGATACAGAAAGAGACACAATGATAAGGAAAAGCCAGGAGTCAGGGATGCCAGAAAACAGGGAAGTCAAAAACAATGCCAAAGTCGAATAATCAGAATCAATATCGCGCTCTCGGACAACCACAAGGGAAACCACGACAGGGCACTGAGCAGGATGAGAACTGGGCCTAAATACCCTTCCTCTAGATTTGATAGGCTGTAACCGGCCTTTGACCCCAAAGGCAGTTACCAGGTTTTCATTTGCATAATTGCTGCTCATCATTAACCCTTCTGTGGATTTGGTTGCTGCTCGGCACAACCTTTCCTGTGTGGACAGTAAATGCCATTAACCACATTTTTATAAGCGGATGAATACGTGACAGTTAACACTTCTAGTGGTAGTCACTCAGACAGCCACTAGGGTTGCTTCCTGGGTCAGTGCTGCCCTGAATGTTCCCTATAGCGATGCAGTGATTCAATGCATCTCTATGAGAAGATGTTGATTGGCACAACACGGTGTTCTTCTGCAAAAGCGCAAAAGCCTCCCAGTGCTTCATTTTGGGAAAACACTGGATTGGCTGAGATCATCAGATTGATGATCTCAACCATAGAGGTGGGGCCAGATGGGGCACAAAGCACCTTTCCCATGCTATCGGAGGGTGGGCTGTCACCTAAACACTTCAGGAGTAAAGTCTCCGTAATACATGTTTGTATTCCTAACACTATAGTGTTCCTTTAATAATGTAGCAGATTTTTTTTTTTTGTCAGAGGTTTGTTTTTTTAACATTTTTAAAAAAAATTTCAACTTGCATTGAAGCTCCACCCTCTACTGTCCGTCTGCCTTATAGAAAGGGTGAGACGCGTAAATATATGAAAATGCTTGCTTGAATAGGTGGAGGGCAGCTATTATGTGTTTCAGTTACATAAATGTTATCAGTAGGTGAAGACGTCACATAAAATGTTCTGGAATAGCCCTGCCTCTTGACCGCATTCCCAGCCATCTCCCCTAAAAATGAAATATTGGAATTTATAACTATAGGTAGAGAAGAGTCTTTCAGAAACCATATAGGAAAATAGTTAGGTATTTTATTGTAACGGGCCGTAAAGTTATAAAGGATCGGAGTGCTGCATGACTGTTACAGAAAAAAAATAGACAGTAAAAGTAATAAAAAAAAGTTTTAATTACCTTATTAACACTATGCTTCTGTTGGTAATCTGTCAAACGTACAAGACTTCCAGATTTACTGCAGCGCTCTGGGAGTAAATAAAGCCAAATCATATCTTTTTATAAATACTGAAAGGAAAACAATTTCATAATGTATTGTTGCTTGTAAATGGCGAACTTAAGGGGCCACTCCAGGTACCCGCACAATACATAACACCCACATACATCCATACCATGGCTGCTATTCAGGTTCACTGTACACATTAAGCTTTGCAGGCTCCTGTACAGATATATCATTTACCTTACTGTTACATAATGTGAGAAGCTAACTAAAACCTGGCAAAATAAATTAGTTTCTCTGTCCTTTGAGGATCAGTGTGGCAGTGGAGGCTAACTATGAGGGGGTTTTATGTTTAATATAAAAGGTTACTCCAACCACCACAACCAAATATGCTTTTTGAAGTGTTAATAGTGGAACGAGTCTGGATTTGCAGTTTTTTCAGCTTGAGATTTTTTTTAATTGTGTGCTGCGGGCAAATTGCATCCCCAGCACACATGATTTAGGCAGCCCAGAACTCCGGTTTAGGATCAGGCTGCTTAATGCCAATTATGTGCGTAAAAAACATCTGTCGTCAGAAGCTATTGTCTCTCCTCCCTCCCTTCCTCCCACACAGATTGAGGCCTTCTCTCCTCCTCATCCCCACCGCACTTTTTTTAAACCCCTGTCCTCCCTCCTTTTGCGGCTCACAGCACACGCATACGCTCTGAGCCTGTTAAATCCTCGAATTAAAGGCTTCTCTGTATTGTTATTGGACCACAGTGCAGGTCTCGTGACATCACACAAGGGTGCGCTGAGCAGCGCTTAAGAACCCGGCGTTGGATTAAGATTAGTTAAACTTTATTTATTTTTACTTAACCTCCAAGGCAGATTTCGTCACCTCTGCCTATTCCGCTGCAGCCCTTTTTCCAGGCAGGTATGGTCCCATTTGCCTATTTCGCTGCAGCTCTGCTTACAGTGATTATAGTTATTGCCTTTACAAAGGCAATTGCAGCTCTCATGCCTAGCTCTCTTGATTTATCCCAGGGCTAGAAGGATACTGCAACCAGCAAACAGGTCTGAAGATACTGTCACTAAGATCCCTTAAAATCCACACAGAACTCAATTTCCAAAAGGAACTGATATACAAAATTTTATTTTTCTCGGCACTAGCCCATAGACTCATTACATAAAGATTTAAAAAAACAAAAACAAAATAAAATACAAATAACCAAATCATAGCAGACAACATACAGCAAATTATTATAACACAATGACACATTTATAAGGGGGTGGGGAAGATATTAATTAACACAAAATATCTCTCCTGCCTGCACAATTAGCAATATGCAAATCTACCCAAATATGCAAATTAGCAAGCCTAGCTATTCAGGTAGTGCATATAGCTGTTGCTGCAACCAACAGAGGGCGCTATACATGCTCCATAGCCAAATCTTCCTAGTTGGTAGCAAGCATCAGCAAGACAGGAGAGCACACAAACAAATAACAATAAATACATAATACACATACATTATACACACTCTGTACCTACAATGGGCACAGGGTGACTTAGACATAGGAGTCATGCAGGGATATAATTAAAGTGTCCATCTTATGTTCCCAGTGATGGTGACTAACGTCACATGTATAAATAAATTAACTTTAATATATAGCAAAAAAGAAATGGAGTGGGGGCGGAGCCAACATCGGAGCTGAGCAGACGTGCTAACTCGACTTAGGAGCGAAAAACGGGCTACTGCCAAACTCAACAGCCACTCACCCTATGCAGGATAATTTGCTTCCAGTCCAAGCAGGATAAAACTCTCCTAATGGTGGTTGCCCGAGAAAAGGCTCCTTTGCACTTCGAAGGAGCCGCGCTGACCATGTTCCCAGACCTCACTAGATGCACCATTGAGTGGCACAGGGCACTGCGGTCGCTACTACCGCTGCTCCGAGACAAGGGCATCCAGTATCGGTGGGAGACACCGAGAATCCTCCTCTTATAACATCAGTGCACAACTCATCAAGCCCGTGGCTTCTCTGAGCTGGAAACTCTCTTACACAACTTGGGATATGCGGACTCTCCTCAGGTGACAACATCAGGTCTGTACCAGATAAATCCCTCTGCGGTGAGTTTCTTCCTAGATCATCCAGACGACCAACTTCCCCACGAGAGAAGACCTTAACAAATATGAGTCACCCAGGACTTACCTGTCAAACTAGGGGATACATAACACTCAGTCCGCAGTTTCCTCACTAGCAGCTATCCATAGCGGCACAGTTATAACATGTTAATGCTTTGTTTTTTATTTTAGTTATCGTTTTTCTTTATATATAATTCTCACTTGCAGCTATCCATAGCGGCACAGTTATAACATGTTAATGCTTTGTTTTTTATTTTAGTTATCGTTTTTCTTTATATATAATTTCCTTGCTCCAATCTACACTGATAGGAGTAATTGACCTTTCATACACCACCCTTCACATTTACACATACCTCCACAGATAGCTCCATACCACTAGCCGACACTTACGATACTTATGCTGTCTTATTGTAGACCCCCCTCCCTCTCACCCGGCAATCATTGATGTTCCTTCCACTCATGCAGGTAAGACTGGGAGATAGGAATTTCCCTCCAGGGGAGTAACAGTCACTACTAGGTTCAATCGTTAGGAACTACTCGACCCTCCAATGGGGGAGACTATATTACAGCCCTCACGTACAGTTCCTTAAGCTACAACATAACTATATATAAAAATGTTCCACATGCTCAATAATTATTGTTGATGACAAGATAGACCCTGTGCATGCACGTATGACAATTCTGATATGTGTCACTGTATTTTTCTCTGTGGAATGAAAAAAAAAAAGAAGAAGAAAAAAAAAGAAAAGAAGTGAAGTGTCCTATGAAAAGAAGTTAAAGGGACACTTCAAGCAACATAACACATATGACAGAGATTATTAAAAATTTAAATTGACAATAATATGTGTTGTGTGAGTGAATTCCAGAGCTCCAAATCAATTAAACTGATAATAAGGCACATAATGCTTGCGTTTATCACTGAACTCCACAGAAATAAAACTCACAATAATTCACAGCATGCATGAGTGTATCACAGAGCTCCACAGCAATAAAACTCACAATAATTCACAGCATGCAAGAGTGTATCACAGAGCTCCACAGCAATAAAACTCACAATAATGCACAGCATGCAAGAGTGTATCACAGAGCTCCACAACAATAAAACCCACAATAATGCACAGCATGCATGAGTTATCACAGAGCTCCACCGCAACAAAACGCCCAATAATACACAGCATGCAAGAGTGTATCACAGAGCTCCACAGCAATAAAACTCACAATAATGCACAGCATGCATGAGTGCATCACAGAGCTCCACAGCAATAAAACCCACAATAACGCACAGCATGCATGAGTGTATCACAGAGCTCCGAAGCAATAAAACCCACAATAATGCACAGCATGCATGAGTGTATCACAGAGCTGCACAGCAATAAAACCCCCAATAATGTTACATAGTTACATAGGCTGAAGAGATACATGCATCCATCAAGTTCAGCCTTTCTCACTTCAGTATTTGCTTTTGATTCGGAAGATTTGCAATGCACACCCTGATCCGCAGCAACAAACCTCACAGTAATGTGTTTTATTTTTTAAAGTATTTTGATATGTGCATGGATTACTTTGTGTGAATAATAAATTTACATAATCCAGTGACGTTTATAGCTGTAAATAGAGCAGTGTCGGGCCTCCATCCTATGTGTATGTATGTATTTGTTTAATTCTGTTCTGCACCATTGAGACACTGTCACAGGATATCATTATCTAAAAGAGAGATAAGGCAGCTGAAAGATGTCTCCAGAATTCAATGTCTGCCATGTTTGCCTATCTCCTCAGCAATCTCTACATAAAAGCCTGTAGCTCACCTCATGTCTTAATTCTGGGATAAATAATGACTTGGCTTGATTGATTAACCAATTCCACAACTCACACATACAGAACTGTGAAAACTTTTTAAAGTTAGGTGTTTTTGTCAGGTTTGGATACATAATAAGCCTCGGTGGCCAGACAGGAAAGGTAAAATGAAGTGAATTAGTTTTAACAATGCAGCTCATTATGTTAATCCATTTAACACTGCATAGAGAGATCATTCATCTTCTACTCCTTTAACTTCAATTACTGGCTGCAGGTATCCTGTGAATTCAAATGCAAACTTGTGCAACAAGATCCTCTGTATTTCAAGTAAACATGGTACATAAATAGCAATTGACATCACTCAGTATTGCAAGAAATGAGTCCACAGATTTTTTGTATTTTTTATTAATTTATATTTTACACAAAGAGTTTGTATAACTGTTACAGTCTATGTATTAACACTGAATACTTCATAATACATTTTGTGGTGAAACGCTGAGAAAAACGTACAGAAAAAAACAAAACAACAAATAGAGAAATCCAGGGCTAATTTTGCTTTTATCGGAATTACAACAGACTTTAAACTTCTTAAAATATTTCAATAAAAATATGTTTAGTAAAACATTTCAACTTGTGTGCTAAGTTTTTCGTTATGTAAGTATATAAAATGGATTCGGGTCTAATCGCCCTTCTTTGATTGCTCCTTGTCAAATAAGTGGGATAAGCATAATATGGAATGTAGCTTACAACAGCAATGGATTGACATAAATATAAAGATTAAATATGCAATGTTCCAAAAGGATATTCGGTCCAAAATGGCAGATGATAATTGATGTGTTCCTATTTAATTTTACCCCATTTTTCCCTATATTACTTATTTCTATATAAAGATTGACGCTGGAAAATTAACTCCGTCTCATGGTTTTCAGAATTCTTTTAATTATTTAAAGGGACTCTACCGATTACAGAGTTTGTATAGATCTATGTGTCACATAGTCACTGACTGCCAGGATTAATTATTATAATGTGAAATTGTTGGTATTTTACACCAAAACAAAACAACTAAAAAAACGAATGTCCAACTTTCTTTGAATTAACGCCAGTTGTATATTTATATAATTCTGAATCTTATTTTATATTTATAACCAGGGCTCTTTGCCTTTGTTGAATTGTATATTTTAATTATATACAATACAGTCAATGGTTTACACATATTTTTCGATTTGTAAAATCAAATTAGAATGTCGTTTGTAAAGTCCTATTGTACAACATGATGTCAGTTATTGCATTCTCTCACAAGATTCCCAGTGTACCATAAGTGCATGTAATGATATCAAGTGTTCGTAATAAAAATTTATTTACAAAAACAAAAATGTACATGGCTGTTTTTTTTGTTTTAAGCGATTCGGTTTATCTTTCCATTCTCGTTTCCTCCTGTCTCACACGCCACAGTTGGATTGCAAGTGTCTTTTCCTATTCATTGATATTTTAAACTTTACCCTTTTTAATTTGCTACATAGACTATTATTCACCAGTCGTTAATATGTTTCAAAATTCGAATATCTTTTTTTTTAATTACAGAATTAACAATGCATTGTATGTGTTTAATTTCGGGTGAATTTTGCCTGCCATATCATGTCCTCTGTGGGTAATACATTAAAATAATGTGTTACCACAAATAAAATAAGCGTTCATGACCTCTAAATATTTCTCCTGTGTAGCAAATTCCTAATGTCTGATGGTCATCGACTGATAAAATATCAATAAACCAATTGGAACTCGATTTAATAAGCCTTAAAAATGATTCAATACTGTTAGAAAACCGTTCTAAATTATCTACTTTCAGAAATTACCATTCAAATCTATCTTTTATAGGTAGATCATTCTGAAGGTTTTTCTAAAAGTTTTGAATCATTTGAAAAGCTTTTTAAATCAAGGCCTTAAATAGGTATCACAACCAAGGCCTGTTCTCCTACTGAAACTAATTATTATCATTTATAAAGCGCCAACAAATTCTGCAGCGTTGTACTAATGAAAGGAAGAGATAATTAAATGAACTATGCTGCAGCAAGATTAATACAGTGTAGATGTGTGTAGATGTGCGGTCAGCCTGTGTTGAGACATTGTAATTGAATATCTGACAAATGTCTGTATGAAGTTATGTGTATGAGTGCGATTTAGCTGGTACAATATTTAGGTAGAATTACTCACTTGAAGTAAACATTCACATTAACACATGGTAAATCAAAGATCCAATTAAATGTATTTAGCATTTTATACTGCCAAGCTCATTTAAAAATCCATAGCCAATACACTGCTGCCTAGCAACATTCGTTAATAAATCCTACCGCACTTAACCATCTTTCCATTAATATATGATTCAGAGTACTTTATGATTATTTATAAACGTAGAAATTGACAAGGAAATTATACATTTTAGGCCAATATAGCTCAATTGGAAGACAAAAGATTGAAAAATTATTTTTTTTGCAATATGCCTGTTTTGGTAGCCTGGATTTAATTCATTCTGTTTAAATGTATTACACAAATATTTTTTTTTTTTAAAAAGACACAAAACAAACAAACAAAAAAGGATCTGGCACAAACTTCACAGCTGTTCCTCATTTAGGTGCCCAAACTGAACATGTGAGGTTTCGGGATAGAATAAGGGTAATTTTCAATAATTCCCTGGATTATAGATTAGTACATATTAATTAATAAGCCCTATTTAGCCTGTTATATAGTTCAAGTATTGAGTTAATTAAATTAGAAAAATAATGGAGTGTTAAAAAATCCTAGCATGTATTTTGAATGAGATGTTCACGTAACACCAGACGTAGGTTAAATATTCCTAAAAGTTCCTAAAACAAAACAGTTGGAAAGGGATTTAAAATCTCTATAAATTTTACACATTCCTGCTTTAATTACCAATCATACACTGCGTTAGTGTGCATTGCATGTGTTTTCCTTAGACGGTCACTGTTCAATTTACTTAAAAATCAATAGGGGGGAAAGACCATTGGTCACATCCAACTCCCCCACTGTTTATGCTGTGATTCTGCTGTGATTCCCAGGACAAATGCCATTCAAACCAATCACAACTCGGCCTCTGAAGCAACTAGCCTGGTGCAATGCATTCGATTATTGACACATTCCTCTTTTTACAAAACAAAAATCTTCTGTTATTGATCTCAATGTAAAGAGTGTGTGTTCTAAAGTGACATGAATATTAGGACTGGTTTCTTGTTAGGACATGTAAATTGTGTAGCTCAGAATGCAGTGGTTAAGAAACTCGAAGAGGTAACTTTCTTGAATAGTTCTTCACATTTCACAAGATTGCTTAATGTTGCTGCTGAGATGCGGGGGGAGGGAGGCGATTGGCAGGGATGCAAGTGACGCAACTTGTTTTAAATATTTTTTATTGTCATCTCAAGATAAACGCGGATATCAAACATATAATCGTTGAGGCAAATAATCGCCTATGCAGAGGCATGCTTATGGAGACCATAAATAACTTGAGGGCTAACATTGGACAGATTGATCAAAGTAGCATATGGTTGCCTGCACAAAGTCATAACAGTCGGATTGATCACGCAATGACCGAAATCAAGTTTGCATGGGCTTCACAAAGTTAGATATGTCAACGGCCTGCTAGGCATATGTTGATAGGGCCTGTTAGTGTCGTGCACTGGTGTTATTGTCACGTGTGTACAGCTATGCCTGACGAAATGTATAATTCAGGTTAATTACAATTAAAGGTGCTGTGTATGCATGGGCTGGTTTATCGATGTATATACGTGAAATTGATGCGAGTATTACACACTAGCGCGTGTGTGGATCATGGGTCAAGCTACATATTCTCAGGAAAAAATAAGGTTTAGTTCAGCCTGTTTAGGCCGGCGTGGCCATGTGCCTATGTCTTATGTTAAGTTCATGTAGGTATTCCTAGTGTGCCTAGCGAGCAGTATGTGCATCACCTTAAGTGATCTGGGCGTAATTAAGAGTCCTCGTATCAGCTGTCTTAGGTGCTGCGTCCATGCGGTCGGATACCTATGTAAAAAAAAAGTTTTACGTGGTATGTATCCTGTCTGTTTCTATTGAGTAGGCAACGATCTACGACAGTGTATTTTATCCCTTTGAAGCACTGTGACATTAATCTTACATTCAGTTTTAAACAGAATTAAAAATAGATATATGCAAAAAACAATCCAATAATGCTGAACTTGTTTAGAGTCTACTGGTGAAAGAATATAGGAGCAAACAGATGCTAATACTAAGCACTGTGCATGTTCAGTATGAAGGGCTTCGTTAGGCTCAAATAACCGCCTATAAGCATGGTACGGTAAACATGTATGGCAGAAATAGCATATTAGTCAGGCAATGTTACATCATATCTTTAACATTATAGCAGCGTCTAGTTAATTGCGAAATAGGCCTGCCATGAATCAAGTGTATTGATAGTAGAAATAATTATTATTTTAGCAACATGTTATATACTGATCTGCATCTGTGATGCCTGAGTTTAAACCCGTAGGTATTCAGTACACAATGCATTCACAATCTTAGGTAATTGTTGCCTGGAGTGTATCCTATGTACAGCTGCTTATGCACATGAAAACATTAGCGTGGTTAGCCCTAACAAAACGAATTTACACTTTTAGCATATTAGTCACTTCGCTGGAGGGGGAGTAATGGCGCCTGGCACGATGAAGCCTTCTGAAGCGAAATTGACAGCCTTCTTCGTAGCTTTTGTTCCCTCTGGTCAGGGCCGGCGCTACCTGTAAGGCGGACTAGGCAGCCGCCTAGGGCGCCCCTTGGGAAGGGGCGCCGCCAGAAGCGCCGGCCCCCCTAATGCTGCAGCCGCCCGAGTGCTCTGTAGAGAGCCTCAGGCGGCTGCAGCTTTGCCCGGGCGGTGCGTCCATGAGGGCGGACCGCACCGCCCGGGCGCAGCCTGAGGAGAGGGGCTGACAGGAGGGAAGCGCTCAGCGCTCCCTCCTGTCACTCCCTCTCTGTAGCGTGGCCGAGCCCTCTATTGGTCCGACCGGTACAGGGAGCATCTGTCTCCTGTACCCGGCCGGACTAACAGGAAGTGAACACTGAGTGTTCACTTCCTTTTAGTCCGGCCGGGTACAGGAAACAAAAGCAACCTGTACCCGCGGACCAACAGAGGGCTCGGCCACGGTACAATAGAGGTAGGGAGGGTGGGGGGAATAAATGGACGGGGTGGGGGGAAGAAATGACGGGGTGGGGGAATAAATGGACGGGGTGGGGGGGAATAAACTGACAGGGAGGGAGGGGGGGGAATAAATGGACAGGAGGAGGGGAGATAAAACGGACAGGAAGGGGGAAATAAATGGACAGGAGGGAGGGGAGATGTCTGGATGAGGG